GGGGGGGGGGGGGGGGCGGCTTAAATATTTTTCATAATTGTTGTTAGTTGGTTCCTAAAATAATCCCTAGTATATATTCAGTTAAACCCTATAAATTAATACAGTTGAACCGACATAATTCTATTAATTTAGTGAGATGTAACTTATATGTAAATTAATAATTCTTAATTTATACATTAATTAATAAATTATTAATTTATAAAATTATTTTTACTACTACTGTTTTAAAATAAAAATAAAAAAAATAGACAAAATGTTAGATGGCGAAATTCCCCAAGAACTGGAATTATTTGGATTGGAGTTGGATTTGTATAAAAGTATTTGAAATTTCCAATTTTCGATCCGATTTAATTTCCAAAAATTCCGATTTGTTTTTCCAGAAAATACACCAATAATACATATACATTATATCTTATTTATTTTACTTAGTGAAAAAGGGTAAATTACAAACACCCCCCTGAGGTATGGTCAAATTACAAAAAACACCCCTCTTGTTTGGATAATTACAACCACCCCCTCAACTCCTCAAATTTAGTGAAATCTTCGAGATTATATGGAATATTATCACTTTTGTACCCGTTTTATCTCATTCAAACTTTACATTATGAAGCAAGATGATCATAATATGTGATTTTTAGCTTGTATATATCAGTTTTTTGTGCATCGAAAACTGTATTTTTTCACAAAACGAGTACAAACTAGAGCAAATTTCACGGAATCTAGATGGTTATGTTGAATTTGGCACCATAAGGGTGGAGGTGTAAGAAAAAATCATAGTTGAGGGGGTAGATGTAATTATCCAAACAAGAGGGGAGTTTTTGTAATTTGACCATACCTCAGGGGGGTGTTTGTAATTTACCCTAGTGAAAAATAAATTAAATATATAAGCATATTTTTAGCTTATGGGCCGGACCATGTTGGAGAGTCAAAGTCTTTCCTTTGCTATTTTTCACGTTAAGAAAAAAAAAAACATCCTATTTTCTTCAAAAGTTTCTAATTTATCATTTTTCATGTGTTTAGAATTTAGTGGTATTTGAAAAGGGATTATTTTGTAGATCCCTCATTTCCAGATTATATTGAACTAAATACCAAGTGGATTACACTTTAGGGGAAATTCCCTCATTTCGAAAATATTTTGACATACCCCCATGGGACACCCTGAAGTCCCTATAATACCCTTTTAAAATCAGTTTTAAATACTAGCCACTACAATCGTGTCTCTCTTCCTCTCCCAGATTCAAAATCCCGCCTCCACAAACCTCCCACCGGCGAAATTGCTTCCCGGAATCATAACTCCCTCTCCGGTGGTCGGAATTCGATGGTTTAACTACTGTTGGATTTCTCTCGTCGAGCTCTTTCTTTTGGTGGTGATTTCATTCAGTTTGGAGCGCTGATCTGTTTCTGCAATTTTTTTTCATTCGACGACGGTGGTCTTCCCGGAGCTTTGTTTTGTGTTCCACCCGTCGAAATTTGAAGGGCTACCCACCGTTGGATTCCTCTCGTCGAGATCTATAATTTTATGGTAATTTCGTTTATTTTTATGTTTTCAAATTTATTTCTATATTTTTTTGCATTTGTGGGCGTGCGGAACCGTGGGTGGTTATTAGCGGCGTCTAGGGTTTTGGTAGGAGGCGATGGGGGGTGAGGAGTCACTGTCTGTTTGATTTAAAATCTGTAGCATTTTTCAGCAATAAATTTTCTCTCTATCTCTCGATCTCTTCGTGTTTGTTGATTTTTGAGTGTTTTGATGTTTTTTCAAATTTTGTTGATTTGCACTAAAGTAATTTTTTTTTTTGATTTTGCAATTACAGCTTAATGAAGGCCATTGATCATTTCCTTGAAGGTGTCAACATTTTTGTTTGAAGTTACATGTGCTTTGTTCAATTGTTCAACAGACTGTATACATTACTGTACATTATTACTATACATTACTATAGTAACATGTAGTTACATATGCGTATATTTGTGTATTTTCGATTTGTTTATTATTGGTTCTGAGGTGATTTATAATAAAAATATTAAAATTTATAACTTTTTGTTGGGTTTTTAAGAATTTCTTTTGTATAAGCCAATATTCGTGTGTGTATACAATTGATCGACTAAAAATATGGGGAAAAAAACGAACATAACTACGAATTACTATAGGTAGTATAGTTACATGTAGTTATTTTCATTACAGTAAACATATTATTTTGAAAATTAAAAAATAAATTAAAAAAAAAATTAAAAAAAAAAATAATTTGTTTTTAATTTTTTTTAAAAATTAAAAAATTAATAAAATGAAAAAATTAAATATATATATATATATATATATATATATATATATATATATATATATATATATATATATATATATATATATATATATATATATATATATATATATATATATATATATATATATATATATATATATATATATATATTTAACAAACAAGTTAATTATTTTAAAAAAAAAAAGGAAAATAATCTTAAATAAATCAGCGAAAATGATAAATGCATGACCATAAATGCTGAATGCAGTTTTGGCCGAAAATTGCATATAAGGGTAGTATAGTACTTTCGCTTCTCCATGGGGTATATCAAAGGATGACTTGGGCTTGGGTTTATCCCTAGTTTATTTGGTGGCTAGGGGGTATGTTAAATAACCCTATTTGAAAATATGTCTAGTGTAGTTAGAATCATTATAGTTTTTTTTAAATATTAGAATTTATTATAGAAATAATTGACTAGACACTCCTTATTTGGAACTTATATAAGTGGTGATCAATTTTGTTACATAAATATAGTATCATAATAAAATTAAATCATAATAAAATTAAGGGGAAATTTGCTAGACACCTCTTATTTTGGACTTATATAGGCATAGATCCTAGTTGCTAGATGAATATAGACATAGGTCATTTTACTCAAAAAAATAATATAAATAAAATAAAATAATTAGTGTATAGACATAATCATTCTCAATTAATAAGAAAACAAATCTCATATATCTTCTCTCTCCAATCTCACGTTTCTCTCACCCTATATTTAAAATACTTCATCTTTTTCTCTCCCTCTGTGTCTCACGCATTTCTCCCTCTCTCGAGCTTCTCTGTTTTTTTTTTCTCTTTACTTTTTTGATAAAACAATATTATTGAGAAGGAAAAAAATAGGGATCTTTTTAGATTATGAGATGATTTCTTGGTGGAAGAATTAAAGAGAACAACAAAAATTTAGAAATCCAAAATCATAGCCAAAATTCATATTGTGTCTCCCCTATGTAGAACCTTCCCATCGTTTTTGTTGTTAGCAATTTCCGTTTGCAGGTTGGTTTAACTTTGTTTGTTGTATGAATAATTGCGTTTGATGTTGAGATTCGATTCCTCTGGTTTACAATTTGCAAGGTATGTCTTAAGTTACATTTTATAAACATTTTGTTTAATGTTTTTGTTGTTTGCAAATTGTTCCATAAACAATTTTTTGGTTGATGTTTTTAATGATTCTAATTTTTTTTTTTTTTCAGTTTGCTGTTTGCATTTGGCCAAGTCATAGGTAGTTTATTGCTTGCAATTCAATAATCCAAGTTTTGCTGAATGTTTTTCTTCAGTTTGTTGTTTGCATTTGGTGAAGTCATAGGTAATTTTTTGTTTGTAATTCAGTAATACAAATTATGGATTTTGTTTTTTTAATTTGCTGTTTGCATTTAGCGAAATCATAGATATTTTGTTGTTTGCAATTCAATAATATAAAATCTAATTTTCAGTTTGCTATTTGCAGTTCGCGGAGTCATAGGCATCGCAGTTCGCGAAATCATAGATATTTTGTTGTTTGCAATTCAATAATATAAAATCTAATTTTCAGTTTGCTATTTGCAGTTCGCGGAGTCATAGGCATCGCAGTTCCGGGATCATAGGCGGTGGTGGGGTTGCGGTGGCATTTTTAGAGTATGAGTTTGTAAAATAAATTGTATATTTTTGTTATGAATTAATTTATTTCTTTTAGTTAATATTTGGAAGAGATGTTTGAGAATTTGTTTTGATAGATAGATTTTTTGGGATTTGATTTGATTTAATTAAGGGTATTTTTGTCATAATAGATATTATTAATTTATTAAAACATTAAATTTTGACTTGGATTTACACATAAATTATAATATAGAGGGACCTATTGCAAATTAGCCCTAAAATTAATATAATATAAATTAAATTATTAGTATGTTAACATAAATACCGTTAATTAATATTTATATGAAAATATTTATTTACAGAAAATCATGAAACAAATCCTACGTATCACTTTCTCTCTCTTTATCTTCTAATAACCATCTCTCTCCCTCTCTATCCCTCTCTCCCTTTTTCTTAGACATCTCGAATAAAGATGGAACTATGATGGTATTGGTATGGGGTTACGGCTGAAGATGGCGGTGGTGGCGACAAATGGTGATTTTGTTTTTTTTTGGTGCGCGTAGAAGTAGGATCATGGTTCGCCGGAACGGAACAGTGCATTGTCGCGGACACTGCTGTTCCAGTTCCGTTGCAACGTCGCGGCTGCGTCGCGGCAGGGACGGACACATTTTAATTAAATTGTTAAAGAAATACAGTATATTTCAAATATGTTTTTAATAACAATATTACAATTCAATAATATGCAAAATATTATTACAATTTAAAAAATAAATATTACAACGAATATTATGAAAATACAAGCTAATATTAATACCAAGTAGAATACCGAACTGGAATTGTGTAGGATATAATTGAAGAGTGAGGCCAAAGAGATCTGTGATTCAGGGGAATCTTCATTATCTAACTTGGTCACAACCATCATATCATTTATTTATTTATGTTTTTTTTCCTTATTTTTTTTAGTCAAATTTGTTTTTTTTTTCAAAATCTTTTTTCCTGTTCCGGCACCGTTCCGGTGCCGTTCCGGCCGCGTCGGGGCCGTTCCGTGGCTCCGTCTCGCCCATCACACCGAATTCTCGGCGTTCCGACGAGTCACGGTGCAAGCACCGTTCTGGTTACGGATTCCGGAACGGAGGACACCGTTCCCGTTCCGGAACGGCCGTTCCGACCGTTCCGGCGAACCATGGTCGGCGTGGGACGTCCATGAAACTGATTGACAGCCCACCAACAACATGTACCAGTCGAGTCCTGCACTACCATGGAAACTGAATAATCGTAGCTCTCTTTAGAGATACGGTGCTTGAGAGATTTGAAGCAATCACGAAGTTTGGATACACAGTCGAGAGATTTTAATTGTGCATAACAATAAAAAGCAAACAACAAACATAAAAAAATGGTTGTGTTGTCTTTGAACTCAGAATACACATTTTAATTCTATTTTTACAAACTGTTACACCACTTGGAGAAACAATAACAAAAAAAATGAATATGACACAAATATATAATATTTCCACGAAATAAAACTAACATTTCCTTTTCCAATGTCAAAGGCATGAAATATATCTCTTACGACACACGCGGGGATAGTTTTTTTAGAAAACATAACTTAAGATTCATGCCAAAAAATCTGCTGAAATCGATTGTATATAAGATCCATCATCATGCACTCGGTTGTCACATTACATTACATCGAACACCTTTGAGGTATCGCTTTCAAAGGCACCAATTTCCTAACCGTGACTCCAATCCTCTCCCTCGTATCGATCATCCCCTTCCTCTCAATCTCATCAACCCGCCAATCAAATTCATGCAGCAGTGTCCCCAACACAAGGTGTAACATCCGGTGAGCAAGCGGAATTCCGGCGCAAATCCTCCGACCAGCACCAAACGGAATAAGCTCAAAATGATGTCCTTTGAAGTCGATTTTCGAGCCCAAAAATCTCTCGGGTTTGAACGATAAAGGGTCGTCCCAGCATTCTGGATCCCTTCCTATTACCCATGCGTTCACGAAAAGCTGAGTGTCTTTGGGAATCCGATAACCCATGAAATCTGTTTCGTGAATTGCCCGTCGTGGGACTAGGAATGGAATTGGGGGATGCAATCGTAGGGTCTCTTTTAACACGGCTTGTAAGTAGGGAAGTTTATCTATGTGGCTTTCTTCGAATGTGTTACCTTTTCCGACCACCTCGTCTAACTCGACTTTGGCCTTGTTCATGGCTTCAGGGTGGCTTAGCAGCTCCACCATCGCCCATTCGGTTGTGCTGCTTGTTGTCTCTGAACCCGCTAAGAACACCTCCTGCAATCACCAAATGTGAAATATATATGTTGAGTAAACAGACATTTGAAAAAACTCCAATTTTTTCGTAAGTGAAAAACTAATTTTCAATCATTTTGGAAAATCGAAAATTCAAATTTTTGGAATTATTGAAATGGAAAAATTAGTTCTAAAATAGAAGAAAAATTAGATCGAAATCCACGGAATTTGAATTTTTTTATTAATATAACCTATATATAATATCGATATTATATCTCTAATATTCTACAAAATTTATTAAAATCGGATGGAAAATTGAAATCTCATATATATTTCAAATTTGATCCAAAACATTCAGAAGTATTGAAATTTCTGCAATTCAAAAATATTAATCCAAAAACGGAAATGATTTAATCGAAATCAATGAAATTCGGAAATTTGTATTTTGTTTATTAAGAAACTATAATATAAAATAAATAATAAATAATAATATTGGAATTATAAATGTAATGCTTGAAGAAAATAAAAGAAATTTAGGAAATGTTTTAGAAATTTCGAAATTGAGAATGAAATATATATAGTAATCCAAATTTCGTAGTTTCGAAATCGAAAATTGGTATGTAATAATAGTTGGAGGAAGGATTTACGTTACCATAATGATGATATTGAGGTCGTGATCGGAAATTTGACGTTGGTCATCAATCTTGCCGCCATCGCCTTCGTATTTCAGTAAAACCTCCAAAAAGTCCTTATTATTCGCATTGGATGATTGCCTTTCTTCCACAAACCCTCCCACAATCTTCAAAATCTTCCCCATCCCACGTTCAGCATTCCTTCTCAACCCTTGAGGATCCATCCACTTCATCCATGGAAACAAATCCCCAATATTCGGGTGCCCCGACCACTCCATCATATCAATCATCGCCGCAAAGAACTCCGACCCTTCCTCCGATTCCGGGCTCACAAGATCCCTCGACAGCATTAGGTTCCCCAACATATTGAACGACGCCAGAAACACAAACCTTGCCACGTGGACCCCATGCCCGCCCGACGATGATGATTCGTTTTGGATCCATTGGACCATGTTGGATACGCACCGCCGCCTGATGGGCTCCGTCTCGACGATTCGTTTGTGCACGAGCATCTCGACGGTCATCATCCGCTTCATGGAGCGCCAGTAGGGCCCGTAGGGGGAGAGCGAAAGTGCCGCCTTGTGGAAGTTGTGGGACGTCATCACGTCGGTGATCGTGCGCTCCGCGAAGCTGGCGTCGTGGTTCTTGAAGAGCTCCGCCGCGGCTCCTGCGGTGAGGAGGGCCATGGTGTTGATGGACCCGATTCTTAGCCACACCACGGGCCCGTAGTGGCTCTTGAGGCCCGCGATGGTCTTGTGTGGCATGGAGCCGAGTTGGAACATGTTGCCGAACACGGGCCACCCCCGTGGCCCCGGCGGTAGATTGGCCCTGGTGGTGGAGTAGCGGCGGTGGTAAAGCACCGCCACAAGAGAAATGCAGCATACTAGGAATGTACTCCATAGCCAATCCATACTATGTTAGGAAATATATATGGAATTAATTAGCTAGCTAGTTCGACTTTCTTCACGTACAATCCGATATTTGCTATAGCCATAATTTTATATACGGTGAGCTAATATGCTGTGATGAATTGTTTAAACGCGGAAAGGCCTTGTCCTTTCCTACAAATATACTTTGTCTTTAATCGACAATGGATCTTTGAATCTGTCTGAGAGAATCAACAATATTATATCGATCGTCGATGGGCATTATATTGCCTTGTGGAATTTAGTGGTTGGTTCATTCACATGAAAATATTTATTAAATATATAGAGCCAGGACAAGATTAAGGAATCTGGGTCAACAAAGGGCATTAGTTAATCAGGTTTCTTTCGTGATGTTCCCTTACAAACATTATTTAGGACGACACACAAATTAAGCTAAAAAAGAACTGTTTTTTTTTTCTTTTCTTTTTTTTTTTTTTTTTTTTTTTCCGCCAGCAATTTTTAATTGTAAAATATTGCTTAGTAAAGTAATGAGTAAACTGCAAAAAGTACCCCTGTGTAATCTCCAAATAGTAAAAATCCCTCTGTGATAAATAAACTAGCAAAACCCCCCGTGAAATTTAGTCAAAGGCATAACCCCTGGTTGAGTTTCGTGTTGCTCACTCGCTGGTAGCTGATTTACATGAAATGATGAAATTGTCCTTCAAAATGTATTTATATGTATATATATTTTCCTTTTAATTTGATAGTTTATAAATTAAAATATTATTTAAAAATTAGTAAAGAATTAAATTGAAATATTATTAAAAATTCGGTAATCAAATTAAGAATAAGTTTTTTAAATACAAAATAAAGAAATATATAATAATATAATTTAAGTTTTCTTTTGATGTAGGAATAATTTAAAATATATACAGAAAATATCTGATAATAAAAATAGAAATACAAGACATCATTGTACTTTTCTAATCAAGATATAATAAAAATAAAATAATTAAAATATTCATAAAATATAAGAATTTATTAATTGCCGATCCCGGTATTTGTGTATTTTTATATCATGTCAACACTCAAATGAATAATGGACAAAATGTGTTATTTAAATAATTTTATGAGAGGTTTTTGCTAGTTTATTTAGTACAGGAGGGTTTTTACTATTTGAAAATTATACAAAGGTACTTTTTGCAGTTTACTCGTAAAATAATGTCATCCCTGATTTATTGGAATCTTTTACCTAGTCTGATCTTTTACCACTGTTGGTTACTTTCTTTTCATTTATATATATATATATATATATATATATATATATATATATATATATGTGTGTGTTTTCAATTTATTTCCCAAGTTCTATTGCCCGCCCGGTAAGTCAAATGTGATGCAATTTATGAATTTAAATATGTCATAGGATGTTCACTTACGAGGCATATATAACATTATTCTGACTTGACTAAGGAAATTTGAGAATCCAATAATCTTTTTAGGATTTGTGCTAACAAAATTGACATTTTAACTGTTATATCCTCTCACACACACACACAGAGAGAATAATTTATTCACTGTGCTACCTATAAATTACAGGGAGGACGATGCCTGCAAGCAACACTTGATTCAAATTGGAAGAAGTTTATGGCATAATTTGTGAGGGCCGGGCGAGGCCGATTCTAAGTGGAGGCGAAGTATCCTCGAATTTTTGTAAAAAATGAGGGGCCTAAATTTTTTATACCCTTTAAATATTAGTATTTATTCAGAAAAATTATATTATATATATATAATTATTAAAATCCCTAATTCATAAATAGATATTGATCAACAATTTTTATTTGTTTCAATAATTCCTCTCATGGGCCCCCAATTATTAAATTTATAGCGCATTAGCTATTTATTTTTATATATTTACACTTGTTTTAGTGCTATTTAATGAAAATTACCCTTAAAAAAAATGGGGCGCTGCCCCCAAACCCTCGGAAACTTAACATCACTATATCAAAAACTTATAGCCTTGTTTTTGCCTATATACCTTACAAAAACGAATTAACATAGAGTTTATCATTTTTTAGAAGAAAAAAAATGAGTTTTAACGTAGATTGTAGAAAAACCCTATTTTTCAAGCATTTTCAAATCTCGCCTAGGGCCCCCAAAATCTCAGTAACGGCCCTGGAGCTACGGCCGCAAGAGGTTCAGTTCCATAAGTTCAGTCAGTTATATACATGAAAAGAAAGTAATCATAAGAGGCAATATTTGGTCTACATTTACCGTTTAAGTACATTCGATCAGTCATTCATGCAATGATGTTTAGTCTTGTTGAATTTTGAATGCCTATCAATATCTACTCTTCTGTTGAGAGAGACTACATGTTACGACATAAGGTGACGTAACAGAATTGTTGTGTTGTCACAGTAATAAATCTACGAAAAGCAGAATAAAGAACACAACAATTTAATGTGGTTCGGATACAAATGTACCCTACATCCACGAGGACTTGCAAAACTAGTTCAGATTTAAGTGTACATTAATAGGACTTAATAAAACACTAAAGACTCCCTCTTTATGTGATACGCCGTTCTTGCACACGACTCGAACTTGTTGATAATCAAAGCAATTCCTCCTCCGCACTCTTGGACTTCCTCCAATGTTGAACTTCCTTCAAACGACGGATCGACCTCTCCCGAGATCTTTTAAGCACTTCTCCCGAAACGCCGATCTTCTTTATGGCCTGGTAGAAGAAACATGTTCTATTGCCACACCTGTCGTGCAGACAGGGCTGCAGCACGGGCTGCACCCTTCAAAGCCTTTATGCTGGGATTTTTCTTATTAAAGCTCCATGGGACTCATATGAGGTTGAGGGCCTTATATAGGCACGAAATCCACCACCCTAACCTAACTTAAGCCCTAAGAAATCGATTAACTAGGTAATATAATCCAAGTCGATTTCTACTTCTATTCTAGATAAGTACAAAAGATACCTAACTAGAATATAATACATGGAAATAAATCTAAGTCCTAATAAAAATATTACAAGAATAAGACTCTAATTAATTCCAAAATAAACATGGAAAACAAATCTTTGCCAATCTTTAATTTCCACGTATGGCGGATTTCTTCAATCTTCACAAACGGAAATTTGGTGCCAACAAGTCTGTTTATATTGGACATTCTAATTTGTACACGGTGTATATTTGTGTCTTGTTTGGAATACACACACTCTTAAAAACCGACTTAATTAGTCCATTATATATATATATATATATATATATATATATATATATATATATATATATATATATATATATATATATATATATAATATATATATATATATATATATATATATATATATAGTAAAGGCTGCGTGATGCCTATTCCCGACTATTCGTGTCCGATATTAAAAGATTATTTTATGTCCAACAGTAAAAGATTGTTTGGCAAAGATTGTTCGGCAGAAGGAATAATGTGCAGGTTTCCGAATTAAAGAAGTTGGAAAGATCTGACAATAAATTGCTATCTTAACTGTCAAATGTTTGCATTCAGAACGTATATATAGCAAAAGTGAAGGAAAGTTTTTGATGAGTTAGGGACGCGGTTCATCATTGGTGAATTTGCCTTGTCGTGTAAAAACTGAAGCCCGTGACCGCAAGCTACCTTCATTCTCTTCTGCCAATCTATTGATCTTTTATTTTGAAAAACATCTGCATATATAAATAGAATAGCAATCCAATATTCGTTAAATAGATGAAAAAATGGCTGCATGTTCTATACAAATAGATGACTTGTATTAGCCATGACAAAATCAATGATTTAAAAAAAAAACCAGTGACAAGATTGTAGGAAATCCAATTCAGACCCGAGAACTTGCACCCACAGAGAAGAACCAAAAGTGGAAGCAAAATCGAGAAATATTCAACGGCGATTCAACAATTGCAGGCGACGATTGAGGACAAAGAAGCAAGAGAAGAAAAAAATCGAGAACAAATTAAAGAAAAGAGAAAAGAAGAAGCAAACAGGTCGATCATACATACCGTGAAAAGAAGGGCAAAGAAAAGAAAGGACAGAGGCGTATAATAACACGGACAAACTGTAAGAAGCAGATAAAAAAAATGAACCAATAGTATTAATCAATAAAGAATCAAAACATAATAAATAAGATCGAGATATATGACGGAGGAAATAAGATCATGCTAGAAGGTGTTTAGGAAAATTTTAAACTCAATAATTGCATGGTAGGCGGTGTTTAGGCAAATTTCACAAGTATTATAAGATACTAACATATGCATTATGCACATAGTAAGAAACCATAAAAGGATCAGAAGAGCTCAACAATTTTAACCAGTTTGTACTGTAATATGGATTGATTTACAAATGAAATTACATACCATTTTTGTTAACCTTATGCATAGGCAAAAACTAACACTTCTGCTCTTTGTCCAACAAGAAGGTCAATAGACTTTGCAGCAATTTGAAATCAATGAGGTGGTTCTGCAGTATGTTTTCTGCATACAAAGCCAAAATACCAGGCAAAAGGCAATATTTATCGTGTTATTTAGCAAGGCTTCAATTAAGAACTGAACCTCAATTCAGTCGAAGTATGAAAATAACATCTAATTAGATCAAATCCTATATTTGAAGCCCTTGTTGTGACTCCTATCATCACACCTTTAGAATAAACTATCGAGTCAAAATTAAATAAATACTTGTAAAAATCACGAATATAAAGATATAAACATAAATAATTTAAAGTCCAACTATAACCGAAGCAAACTAACTCCCACAGAAATAAAACAAGCATGCAAGAAGTAGAAAAAAAGGTCATCACTATATGAAAAGTTCAAGAGAAACAAAGCAGGCTCCATTATATACCATTAGATAGCACCTAAGTTTGAGTCATTTCTAAATTGTGGACAATTAATTGTAACATCAATCGAACTCTCATAGTTAATTGGTAATGCACAAATAGCAAATAAACACGCAATGATTATTACTTTCAACGAATTGACTCTCACAAATTGAAACTAAAAGCCATATGCATCCCTGCGAAGTTTCGGCATCGGCAAGGGGGCCTGCCCTTGAAGTTCATTTTTCCCGTCAGAGGCATAGACACGTAAAATGGCATAATTTACCTTTACTGTTCCTAACATCGGATAAAATACGAGAAGCACAAAAAATACCTTCAAACAGTTCTTGGGTCGAGGCAGTTTCGAGGACACACACTGCAGCCATCACACACGAGCAGATCTGAAAGCTAAGTGTTTCCATTGAAATTGAAACACCAACTGAAAATCGACAAGGGAAATAAAAAATCGGTAGCAGAATCCATGTGCATACATCCAAAAAAAATAAATATAAAACATAAATAATCCACCAAAAATAACAGTCTACCATTATCAATGAAATACTAATTATATACTTATATACTTTTGATTTATTTGTTCTTTCCAATCCTGTAAAAAATTGGATTCTCAACTACTTCTTTGGCTGTTGGTCTACGAACAGGATCTGCATCCATCATCATCTGAACGATTAACAAATCAAAAGAAAATCGAACACCAGTACGCAAGTTAATCTGTAGCAATGCATTGCGTTTTTATCGAACATGCTCGCTATAAAATAATAATTAACATCATTTAAAATGCTCAACTCGAGCTTTCCCTGCATATAGTTTTCTGAAAACTTGAATATTTAATTTTGCTCTGTAGGTTGTTACACCAAGTCTATATAACTCAAAGAAACGAATGTTATATTAACATAATTATCACGATGGTTTTCACCAAAATTATCAAACATTAATAGTAAAGACAGATTGGATATCCTCGATTAAGACCTACTTTTCATATCATAAAAGCAGAAGGTAATTTAGCTTGATTAAATTCTGAAACGGGATTGAACGACCAGGAAGAAGGGGCAGTTTTCCTTCCTTAAAAGTGAGGAAATGAGAACCTGATTCAGGTAACGGTGACCCTCTTGCAAGTTCATAGATGGAAGCTCCTAACGAGAATTTATCAACTTTGTCTAGATTTTCATAATTCTCGTTCAGGATTTCTTGGGGCATGTACCGAGCATCACCTTCTTCAATTGGCCAGCTTTTATCAACGACAGTCGCACAACCGAAATCACCAAGTTTATAAACTCCATTTTTTACATAAATGTTTTCTGGCTTTACGTCCAAGTGAACTACTCCTCTCCCATGTATAAACTGCAATGCTTTAGCAATCTGCACGAATGCAATTTTTTCAATGAAAAATCTCCTCTGGGAAAGGTCATAGTCAATCCCATCTAACAGCCTTTAACAATTCTAATTAAATATTTAACTCATCAAGATAAAATAAACAAACCACAGAAAGTTAATAATCCGCTACAATTACGTCACGTTACAGATTAAAAAATCATTCACCTGATACATTGCCTCTAAAGCTTCTCTTTCTGTGAATAGTTTAGGTATTCTATCGAGAGATAAGCTGTGCTCGCATAGCTCCAGTTGGATGTAAAGTTGCTTGTTTTCAAACCACGAAGAATAATAGCCAACTATATTCTCGTGGTACCCTGAGAAAAATGGGAATCGAAAAGTTTAAAAATATCAATCTTTGGATAAAAATATTAAGCATATAATAATGTAACAAACCTAGAGCCGCCAAAGCTTGAACTTCCATCAAAGCCTTGCACTTGTGACAGTATTAAACATAAGTTTGCTGCAACAAGCGAGTGGCGTAAATACAAGCAGCTGATCATTACAAGTAAATTAAATTAAGTTACCTTTCTGCATCCAGATGCAACTGTCTCATGCTATGTTTTACGGCATACATGCAACCATCAAGTCTCTTCAAGACATTGAAAACCTGGTTGAAGTTTCCATAATCAATTTTCTGGAAACAAAAAAGCATTAGCTCACAATAGACAAGCATTTTGAAAAATCAAGATACAACAATTATGTGTTGGTTCCCAAACCTCAATTTCATGGAAGTCTGTCCGATAGCGGGAAAGACCATCACCGCCAATGCCTGCTGGATGAAAACCTAGAGAGAGAAAATTGCATATGTTATAATAAAGTTGTGTAATACAAACTAAAGGGCTCATTTATATCCATGAACAAGCGGCTAAATCTGCTTTTGGAAAAAAAATATAATCATGTTAGGTAGCTAGCAGAAAAAACCACGCAGTGCGTGCAGCCTATACAAAAGTGTAAAACATAGAGAAGAAGCATAACAATTAATAGGTGTCATCTTTCCTGAAAAATATGTAGACTAACATTCAAAATGTAAGGATGTAGTGAGATAAGAATGAGTAATAAATAATAATTACGACATAACCAAACAACATGCAATAAGAAGCTGCAAATAGGTCAAAGGATTATATCTTTTTTTCTGACCAAAATGCAGAGTGGTAGTATTCGATTAATTTTGCATATACCAAAAAAGGAGAAGAAAATCGTGAAACAGGATGATATCCGTATAACTCCCCTCTTCCTGTTTTTTTCATGGCCAAAAAACCTGCGTTTTCTATGTCTTATTACACCCAAAAACACTTTTTCAGAGATATATTTTATAAGCAAGATGATTTATTTGAATTTTGAGTTTATGTATCGATTCTTACAATATTGAAATATTGTATCGATTCTTACTATACTGCACTGGAACCTGTGAGATTGCCAAAAAGAGAATCAAGCAAAGCTCTGGCCACCTAAATTCACATTAAGAATCATAAGAAATCTGATTAAAATTTGGAATAAGAGAATCATAATAGGTTTTCATCATTAACAGCCAACCAACTCCACAAGTAATTACTGAAGGTCGAGCTGGTGTTGACTTCCGTATCTTCCATTAGAATTACTAATTACTGAAAGTGGGGCTGCTGCAAGAAAGGAGCCAGTACAATAGATTGCAAATAATTAGAATAGTAAAATGAATTCCTTGCTTGCATAATCTCGAAAACGTTATGAGGTAGAAGGAATTAGCAACTCGAAGTAATTATGAAGATTCAATAAACAGTGAAGCAGAGAAATCAAACCTTTTAGTGAATGAAAAAAAAATCAAAATAGCCAAATAAATTGCGAGAACATCCCTCCCTATTGCCAATCTCAAGTGAGCATATGAATCAAATACAGGCACAACTGAACAACAAAATAATTATGATAAATATTGTAAAAATGTGCTTATCATGATTTATAACCTGAGCAATGTCATCATGTAGCCAAGAAGTTGATTTCGTGACAATTTGGTTTTTTGTGGATCCAACATGCAATGCAACCTAGAAAAGAAAATGAGATCATTGAAATCTGAATCCATCCATATAATTTAAAAAAAAAAAAAACTTGAAATGGTGTTTTAGAAAAATAAATTACATGGCGACAAAAGAAGACAAAACAAAGGTACGAATGAAACAACGAAAAAACAATAGGCACAACCATTAGGAACATGGTCTTTACCAGTAACAACAGCTCCCATCGACCCAAGTCTGCACATGACCAACATTACTCTACCCACCGGCAAACATCACAGAAAATCAGCGATCTTCTCCTATAGCGGAAGTCCTGCCCTTCCAACAATCACGGTTGGAACTCGTCTTTGTAAAATTTTAATTGAAAAACGAATAGATAAGTGAACGAAAAGTGAACGTGTCAACGTGTAAACGGAGAAGATCATCCGAGAAGGAACACCGAGAAACTTCATTAACGAGGCAGCAAATAAAATAAATCGATGCCGGAATGAACAGACGCGCCGACGGGAAGTCAACAGCGGCGACAAGAATTGAAAGCGGCAGCAAACAAAATAATTACAGAATAGAAAATAACTGTGAGAAAAGAGCGGTGCACCCAAAGATGATGACTCTACAATTCCTGAGTTATCCAATTCGGATGTGATTGGAAAGGGACAAATCAACTATTGGATGAAAAAAGGTGGGAAGTGACGTTGCCGGCAGGGGCGATGGGCATCGAACAGAGCGGCGGCGGTGGCGGGCATGGAAGCGCCGGAGGTCAGCAACTGTTGGTGGAGGTCAACAATTGTTGGCCATGTGTGAGGCAGCGAAACGTCGTCGTTTAGGAACAAGCAGATTAAATGAAAAGGAAAAATCAAGCAGGCGTGTCGCGGTCGAGCTACTTCAAAATTAAATGGAAAAGAAAAAAATGGGAGATGCTGATTGGAACGACACAGTTTTGGCATTAACTGGGCCAAAAGAAAATGGAAAAGAAATGGGCCCAAAAAAAAAGGGCAGATCCCCATAATTAACGAGGCAACAAATAAAATAAATCGATGCCGGAATGAACAGACACGCCGACAGGAAGTCGACAGCGGCGACAAGAATTGAAAGCGGCAACAAACAAAATAATTACAGAACAAATAATAACTGTGAGAAAAGGGCGGTGCACCCAAAGATTATGACTCTACAATTCCTGAGTTATCCAATTCGTATGTGATTGGAAAGGGACAAATCAACAATTGGATGAAAAAGAGGTGGGAAGTGACGTTGGCGGCAGGGGCGGTGGGCATCGAACAGAGCGGCGGCGGTGGAGGGCATGGAAGCGATGGAGGTCAGCAACTGTTGGTGGAAGTCAACAATTGTTGGCCATGTGTGAGGCAGCGAAACGTCGTCGTTTAGGAACAAGCAGATTAAATGAAAGGAAAAATCAAGCAGGCGTGTCGCGGTCGAGCTGCTTCAAAATTAAATGGCAAAAGAAAAGAATGGGAGATGCTGATTGGACCAGGAGATTGGAACGACACAGTTTTGGCATTAACAGGGCCAAAATAAAATGGAAAAGAAATGGGCCCAAAAAAAAGGGCAGATCCCTATAATTAACGAGACAGCAAATAAAATAAATCGATGCCGGAATGAACAGACGCGCCGACTGGAAGTCAACAGCGGCGACAAGAATTGAAAGCGACAGCAAACATAATAATTACCGAACATATAATAACTCTGAGAAAAGGGCGGTGCACCCAAAGATTATGACTCTACAATTCCTGAGTTATCCAATTCGGATGTCATTGGAAAGAGACAAATCATCAATTGGATGAAAAAGAGGTGGGAAGTGATTTGGCGGCAGGGGCGGTGGGCATCGAACAGAGCGGCGGCGGTGGCAGGCGTGGAAACGGCGGACGTCAGCAACTGTTGATGGAGGTCAACAATTGTTGGCCATGTGTGAGGCAGCGAAACGACGTCGTTTAGGAACAAGCAGATTAAATGAAAAGGAAAAATCAAGCAGGCGTGTCGCGGTCGAGCTGCTTCAAAATTAAATGGAAAAGAAAAGAATGGGAGATGCTGATTGGATCGGGAGATTGGAACGACACAGTTTTGGCATTAACTGGGCCAAAAGAAAATGGAAAAGAAATGGGAAAAAAAAAAGGGCAGATCCCCATAATTAACGAGGCATCAAATAAAATAAATCGATGCCGGAATGAACAGACGCGCCGACTGGAAGTCAACAACGGCGACAAGAATGAAAGCGACAGCAAATATAATAATTACCGAACATATAATAACTGTGAGAAAAGGGCGGTGCACCCAAAGATTATGACTCTTCAATTCCTGAGTTATCCAATTCGGATGTGATTCGAAATTGACAAATCAATAATTGGATGAAAAAGAGGTAGGAAGTGACGTTGGCGGCAGGGGCGGTGGGCATCGAACAGAGCGGCGGCGGTGGCGGGCATGGAAGCGGCGGAGGTCAGCAACTGTTGGTGGAGGTAAACAATTGTTGGCCATGTATGATGCAGCAAAACGACGTCGTTTAGGACCAAGCAGATTAAATGAAAAGGAAAAATCAAGCAGGCGTGTCACGGTCGAGCTGCTTCAAAATTAAATGGAAAAGAAAAGAATGGGAGATGATGATTGGACCGGGAGATTGGAACGACACAGTTTTGGCATTAACTGGGCCAAAAGAAAATGGAAAAGAAATGGGCCCAAAAAAAAAGACAGATCCCCATAATTAACGAGGCAACGATTAAAATAAATCGATGCCGGAATGAACAGACGCGCCGACGGGAAGTCTACAGCGGCGACAAGAATTGAAAGCGGCAACAAACAAAATAATTACAGAACAGATAATAACTGTGAGAAAAGGGCGGTGCACCCAAAGATTATGACTCTACAACTCCTGAGTTATCCAATTCGGATGTCATTGGAAATGGACAAATCAACAATTGGATGAAAAAGAGGTCGGAAGTGACGTTGGCGGCAGGGGCGGTGGGCATCGAACAGAGCGGCGGCGGTGGCGGGCATGGAAGTGACGGAGGTCAGCAACTGTTGGTGGAGGTCAACAATTGTTGGCCATGTGTGAGGCAGCGAAACGACGTCGTTTAGGAACAAGCAGATTAAAGGAAAAGGAAAAATCAAGCAGGCGTGTCGCGGTCGAGCTGCTTCAAATCTAAATGGCAAAAGAAAAGAATGGGAGATGCTGATTGGACCGGGAGATTGGAACGACATAGTTTTGGCATTAACTGGGCCAAAAGAAAATGGAAAATAAATGCGCCAAAAAAAAAGGGCAGATCCCCATAATTAACGAGGCAGCAAATAAAAAAATCGATGCCGGAATGAACAGACGCACCGACGGGAAGTCAACAACGGCGACAAGAATTGAAAGCGACATCAAACAAAATAATTACAGAACAGATAATAAATGTGAGATAAGGGCGGTGCACCCAAAGATTATGACTCTTCAATTCCTGAGTTATCCAATTCGGATGTGATTGGAAAGGGACAAATCAACAATTGGATGAAAAAGAGGTAGGAAGTGACGTTGGCGGCAGGGGCGGTGGGCATCGAACAGAGCGGCGGCGGTGGCGGGCATGGAAGCGGCGGAGGTCAGCAACTGTTGGTGGAGGTCAACAATTGTTGGCCATGTGTGAGGAAGCGAAACGACGTCGTTTAGGAACAAGCATATTAAATGAAAAGAAAAAATCAAGCAGGCGTGTCGCGGTCGAGCTGCTTCAAAATTAAATGGAAAAGAAAAGAATGGGAGATGATGATTGGACCGGGAGATTGGAACGATACAGTTTTGGCATTAACTGGGCCAAAAGAAAATGGAAAAGAAATGGGCCCAAAAAAAAAGAGCAGATCCCCATATATATATATATGTATATATATATATATATATATATATATATATATATATATATATATATATATATATATATATATATATATATATATAGACACACACACACACTAGCAAGCAACATGTGCATTGTTATTAATGGGATCGGCAA